CAAATCAGCTCCACAGGGGTCACTATAGTGACTAAACTTGCATGAAAAAAGTGGGAAGCTTTTTTGCACCAGATGTCCTTCCTGACACAGGTAATGAAGATTTATTTGGTGGTAATTTAAAGACGTTTTATCTTTTTTTTTTTTTTTTAGAAAACAGTCTGGATTACTTTCATAAATGGCTTTCTAGAAAAGCCATTTGTCCCATGGGTAACTTGTTGTTCAGCAGCGTTCTACAGAGTAGAGTTGGTCTAACAAACTTCAAAGTTAAGCTCTGTGATGTTTCCACAACACTAAAGATGATGCATATTTGAGTGTGTGTAAGAGAGAAGCAGCTTTCATTAATAATTCAAATATTTAAATAAACTATCTTTGAAATGTTCTTCTTTAGTGACTGAAAACTTGCAGTTTCTGTCTTTGCTGGAGGAGAAACATTTGGGAGCACGTCAGTGTTGGGCAGAGCGGCAGCTTGCAGTGGGTTTTCGAGTGAAAGCACAGCATTGTACATTGTATTCTCCTCCTCCTCAGCCGTCCACCTCATAGAGACTCTCAGAGGCTTTAAACTGCCAGGGGCCTGGTTAGTTTTGGACTGACATTAATGCCCACTTCTCCCATAATGGCTCTCTTCTCATGCCAGCAAAACACATTGAAATGTGCCTCAGTGTAATTGACTTTGGTGTGTGTGCTGTAGGTGTGACTCACTGTGTGCTTCTCTCTGGAAGCACTCGGCTCGAGGATCTGCCGCTATTTACAAGCTGAAAGGCTGCTGTGATCTGTCACCAACACCGGCCACTGCGTCTTCTGACCACTTTCAAATCCACAAGTGTGTCCGGCACCAACAATTGAAAGTGTGCCCGCTGTGATCTTCGCTCTATTCTTTCATTACGGATCAGCAGCGGCAGGGGCTCTAATTAGTTGTGTTGGCTTGCTGGGAAAACGAATGGGAACTGATTCGGCCACGGGGCCAAAACAGGATTCCCAATGGCTYACATGATTCTGAGAGTCCGTATTGGCAGGGAATCGTTCTCTCTTATTTTACTCCTGTTTATAGTCAGTTTTCAGCTGTGTTCTCACTTTTCGCCCATTAGAACTTGTAAGCTGATTGACTATTTGGTGCTCCGGGGCACATAATTTTGTTTTTCCAAATACTTTAAAATTTGCATTTCCACCATAACTAGGGGAGCATTTGGGGATGTGTTTTATATTTGCTAATTAAGCATTCAGTTTTCTGGATTGATTTGAATTATAGGTCCACCTGTTTTAATGCCGACTCTGTCATTCTAGTTCTTTTTAACAGCCTCGTATGGTCATGAGAAAATAAGAATCACAACAGTTGATTTCTTCAGGTCTTAACGACATGTTTGCAACATATTTTAGAACTCTCGAGCTCCACAGCCTCCTCCCCTTTTCCACAAGTGTCACTTAGAGTAGTGTCAGTATGGTCAGTGTCAGAACGGGTCAGTTTGGGTTCTTTTCTGTTGACGTTCCAGTCCGGTTCCAGTGGGTGTGTTTTGGGCAGTTGGTGGATGTGGGTTTTGGGTTTTTCGAAAAACGTTAATGCGCAAAATGAGAGATGCAAACACATTTGCCGAATAAGTCCTGAAATCTAAAAAAAACTTGCTAAAAGTTTGAATTAAAATTGAATGGAAACACGACTAATGTCACTGCTACAATTGAAAAAAAAAAAAGGTGCCCCGAGTTGTTGTTGTAAAGGCAGCTAGACGCAACCAGTGACTCCACCCCCTAGCCAGTCAGTGACGAACAATGTTCTGACACCGCAATTTGGTGTCGACTGGGACAGCTTGGAATCACAGAAAAGTAGGTACTAAAAAAAGGGCTGGTTCCATGAATCTGGCCTAATGGAAATGGCTTAGAACCGTACCGACACTACACTCCTGTTCACACCTGCACTGTTTAGTCCAATTTAATCGAACCCTAGTTCGTTTGCATGGAAAGTCTGGTTCGTTTGTGGAGGTGTGAATGCAGAATCGAACTCTGATTCGGGCCAAAAAAGCAAACTCTGGTCCGCCTGAAAACCTAGGTCTCGGTTGGATTGAAACGAACTCTGGTGCGGTTCGATTGCATGTGTGAACGCTAAGCGGACCAGAGACCGCTCCAAAAGCAGGAAGCGGACTATACTGCATGACGTTCTGAGTAATAACAGTATTAAATTTACTTATATGGTGTAAATACCTCGCTGGACGACGGTATAAAAGGTGGACATCATGACTGTGGAGCTGGACGCGCTCCTACTCGATTAACACAGAGCTTCCTCAGCCGCCTTGTGTGCAAAACAATATTCTCTGTGGTTCCGCCTCATCTTTCTCTCATGCTGAGCTCATTGATGAAGACAATGTTTAGCACATTTGCCAAAAACAAAAAATAAACCCTATAACCACTAAAAATATAATGTTACTATTGTTTGTTTACATTTTGTGAAGAAGGAAGTTGTGCTCCATGTTTTCTTCTGAGGTTTTCATGTTGATTGCTTTAGTGGTTCTTTACGCAGCGCCCCCACAGGTGATGGCGGGAACAGGTTGTTTACTGGGTTTAGTTCGGTTGAGAAAGTGCAGTGTGAATTCAAACCGCACCAAGTGAAAATGTAAACAAAGCTTGAAGTTTTGGTCCCCAATCGAACCGAGTCTAACGGACTATTAGGTGTGAATACGAGTGGCACTAGTGGAAAAGGGGCAGAGTCAGTTTTAGGGGGTGGAGGGAGCTACCCCCTAAAACTGATTGCACTTGATAAACCCTATTTTTTTTCCCGTGAGAGAGAGAGAGAGAGAGGATGCAGTGACGAGTCTGAAAGCTAAGGATTCTGTGTTTCTCTCTGACTCGAGAAATCTCCTCAAATGAAAAGCAAAACAAAGAAAACCAGTTCCCTTGGATTCGGCTTGATACAAAATCACCTGCACTTCCACAGTGCAGTCGCTACTGATTTCTCTTTCGGATGCTGTAAGTTGAGAAAACAGCATCATAGACAACCACTGAAAGAAAGGGACTAATACAGCAGCCACAGTCAAAAATCACCTCAGAAAACCTCCAGCTCATACAGTCTGTGCTGCATGTTGTGGTGGAAAAGGGCACAGAAGGCTAATAAGGTCTTTTTTAACAAACCCAAAGGAGCTGAAGGGGGATATGATTTCCAAAAGATAACAAAGAGCATAAGCATAAAAAAGCAGGTATTCAACAAGACCGTGTGAATGACAAAGGGCAAAATTTTAATCTGGGATGAATGATAGGTGAGCGAACATGGCTGAGCCCGAGGACCAGATGGTGAGGTAATTAGAGACAGATTCTAAAGCTATCCAGGGACAACGGCAGTAAACAAGGAACTAAACTCAGACTAAAAGGAGAAACAGGGCCTAAGAGAAATAAAGCTCCTTCAAAATGAGGTGAGAACAATAACCAAATAAACATCCAGAGGCTGAACGCCACCAATAAACAATTACTTTTTTAAATTAAGCTAACAAAACCAAAATGGTGTCACAAACAGTGAAAATAAACCATAGATTATAACAGGTTATATAATCCTGCAGATCATTTATTGTGTTTTACATTGTCAGAAGATGAACTAATTTGTTCCAATATTTGTTAAAATATTAGAACAAATTAGTTAAGAATTTTAGCTAATCAATAACATTTGTTACTTTTCACAGGTTTCTACTTTTACAATGACGAAGGCAGATGTTTCATTGGATACCAAACAGATAAAATGTTTAACTTTTCAATAAACGCCATAGAATTCACATTTCTTAGCCAAGTTATGAGAAATGAAACAAAGTGCCTCTAAATTTTCTGTGCCGCTATATTTCTGCTGTCAAACTGGAATGGACCGCCCTGGAAGCTGAAGTGGGGCGGGATGTGAAGCGCCTTGTTTGGGTTTAAAGAGACAGCCTCAAAACGAGTTGATCTGAGTCACACCTCAGAAAAGTGGTAAAAGAGGGGCTTGTGGAGTTACGATCAGGAGTGCTGTGTGTATTTGTGTGGCGTGATTTTAAGTTGAAAACATTCGAAGATGATAACGAGAAGATCAATTAATTCTCCTCTGAGTTGGATCTGCGCCAACCCTTAAAAAAATCATCTCATTGTATGATTTTTTTAACTGGGCGCTATAAACAAGTTGGTCGTGTTTTTTTTTTTTTTTTACATCAAACACCAGAATTTACACTCTCAAGCAAAGAAACATGCATTTTTATGTTCTTTTGTTAAATTCTACATTTGTATTTATAGTTTTCAGAGTTTTGTCTGCACGTTCTCTCACTCTGACCTGTGTTTCCTGTTTCGTTTGTTGCAGCTGGGTACAGAATGGACCGCTCCGGGGGAATTTACCAAGTTCAGGTCCCAGTCCTCCAAGTCTGTGCAGTAAGTACCTGTGACATCCACCCAAATATCCTAGTAGCACATTTATTTAACTCCAACACAAAGACCAAAAGAGGACACAAGTGCAGTTACCTTCCAAAATATCTCTGAGTACAAACCTTACAGCGTCTCCCTTGCAAACCGTACCAAAAAGGTTCTGCTCAAAGTCTACAGCAGGGCTGTTCAGCTTCAGCTGCAAATGGGCCATATAAAGAAATTACTGAGGCCACAGGTGTTAATTATTGCCTGCAGATGAAATATGAAAGTGGAACGATTATGTATTTGCATGTCTGTTATCAAAATACCTCATGAACCACTTGACAAATTTTAATAAAACTTGCAGAAAGTAATCATTGGATGTACTCCAGCTGATTAACTTTTAGGGTCGACTCAATAGACGACCGCCACAGCCCACTGATCTTAAAATATACAAATATGGCTTTAACTGTTAATTTACACATATTGACATATTGAGATTGATGCCCAACCCAAAATCTGAATGTTGTCATTAACTGGAGTCAACTGTGTGTTTGCTAGCGTGCTAGCAAAATATCTTATGATGGGTTTTAATAAAACATCAGGAAATCACAGTTTATGAACAGTTCATTCAATCCAATTGAAGTTGTTTGCCTACATATTACTTGTTGAATAGTCAGGCTTCTTTTAGATTGTTTCATTGTACATGGGGAGCTCAAGGGTTTGCTATAATAGAAATCAGGCTTTGTGTGAGTATTTTATCTGTAACCTGATCACCATATGATTTGTAGTGTTTGTAAAAATCTGGCACTTTTATATCACCAGCATCAGATTTTCAGAGGATTGCTCACACAGACAGTTGATTAAAAAACAACCTTTGCCCAATAAAAACCTCAGGCATCTACCGTAGTCTCTTTTGGTGACTTTCATCCCAGGTGAAACTCATCCCCAGCTGGCAGCTCGGTTCAAATGGCTTGACTACAAGAATATATGATGATGCAAGGAGCAGAGGAGCCAAAAGCCCTGAGATCAACTGTAACAGAGCAGAGTGAAAAGGACGGCTGCATCATGACAGGGAAGCTAAAATGAAAACATATAAACTAGACAGACAACTGGGTTTAAAGTCGATACTTGTTTTGGTGACTGGGAAAGCAGATGCAGGCAGTTGGTTTGACAGAGGATGGTGCTGGATATGGAAACAAATAATTTGCTATGGAGGGCCCTGAAGGGGGCAGCTAACAAAGGAGGAGGCTAAAGAGAGCTCTTGTAGGACGGTTCCAAGTGTAGGAGTGTTCCGAACTGTTTCAGCTGAAAGAGCTCCTTTGCTGTAAATGAGAGAAGGGAAGGTATTATTAATGCATACCGTCCTCCCAGTTTCAACACTTCGCTCCAGTAACGACTTGGTWTTAGCTTTCATTAAATATATCTACTGATGGAGCTGATCCACTACTGTTTTTTGTTTGTTTTTAGCTTATTTAATCAAATAAGACATATTGTCCTAAAAACAGGATTCATGAGTATAGAGACACATTATATAGGCTTTGTAGTAAAAAACAATCCACCTTTTTTATTTTCCATTAATAGGGATTGAGTGAAGAACAGCATTATTACAACTGATAAAAGATAGAAATTTAATGGTGGAAAAGTACAAAGTGAGTTCACTGAGGTCCGTCAAGGCTCACCCAACCTTTTCTGTCACCTGTGAGCAGCTAATGATGTTTTCAGCAGTTGATTTATTGCGTGTTTGAATGTTTTAGGGAAGCTTTTAATATTGGAAGTGTTCAGATGAGTTTGCAGTAACTTCCTGAATCAGTGTCCTGATGCATCTTAGTAATCCAGGTAAAAATCAAAAAGAAAAAAATTGTATAGGTCTTCTGGACGGGTTCTTCTCTAATGAAACGTTTCGTCTCTCCTCCAAGAGACTTCTTCAGTCTGAGAGTTTCAGGCAAAATTCAGGCTTTTAAGCACTGCCTCCATGTGACCGATACTCACATCACATGGCTATCTATCAAGAACGATAGAGAGGAACGGTGGTTTCAGAGAGGAGTAAAAGAAGCCATTTTTGTGAAGAAAGACCGTCCATTATTGAACAGAGGTGGAGGCCTCCCTTTTCAGTTGTCCCCCTCCTACAGTGCGGCTATTGCCAGTATCACTCCACCCCCTGTTAACAATAAGTGTTAATTAGGTGTCAACRATAGCCATGTGATGTGAGTATCAGTCACATGGAGGCAGGGCTTAAAAGCCTGAATTTTGCCTGAAACTCTCAGACTGAAGAAGTCTCTTGGAGGAGAGACGAAACGTTTCATTAAAGAAGAACYCRTCCAGAAGACCTATRCAATTTTTTTCTTTCCTGAATTAGATTAAAATGTGTATTTAGGAAAGGGGTTTGGACCTCCTTGTGGTATTTGGTGAAGTTAGGGGTTTTGGAAAATCATCAAACTATCAGGTCTGGATTAAATCAGTGTGAGTTCAGTCATGATAATAGCTTTATTTGCARTAAGGAGTCTGCTTTAATCTGTTTAGTGAAACACACACAAAGAAATGGTAGATCTTTGAGTCACAGCCCACTGGCTGATTTTCTTTAGACTGCAACAAGTTCTTATTGTAAAAAAAAACAGGCATTGATTTAGAGCAAAACTAAAACAAATTAGATATAATCTTTCTAAACACAGTTATTTTGGAGAAAAAGAAAAAAAAGTGCTATAATGTCATTTGCACACGCAATAATGTCTCTGATGGAGCAGGTTGCTTTCCTTCGGCTCCGGGTGTGCTGAGCGTGAATTATGGGCCCATGAAAGCAATGAATCTTTTTCTGCCAAATTTAATTATTCCTGCCACAGACACACACAAACACACACATACCATGTTTCTCTATCCTTGTGGGGACTTTCCATTGACTTCCATTCGTTTTTTTGGTAATTTTGTATCCTAACCCTGACCCTAACCCTAAAATTAACTTCACAGGTACCTACCTGACCCTAAAACTAACATAAACTCAATTCACACCTTGGTACTAAACCCCCCCCACCCCCCAAATCAGCCTCTGAAGTCATGACTGCATTTTCCTGAAAAATCGTACCCACCAAGTAGCAAAAGCAAGGACATAAACATACACAGGCCCATACAAAGTTACACTCTTGTTCTGAAACAGCTTTGTGGTTCCATCTTAAATTTTAAAATGACATGTGGGATGGGGTAATACTTTTGCAGCTAGATGTTTATTAGGGAAAATACCTAATTTAATGTAAATCACTTCTGTTACACATAAAAAATATTAAAACGTATAGAATGTTCATTCATTCTAGGATAAACACTAAATTAAACAAGACCAATATTATTCACAATCCTTTTTTTTCTGTGACAGAATAAAACCGAACCGCAGCGTTTAAAATTGAAGTAAAATACCAGGGAAAAACATGTGGCTGAACGTTTGTTACTATTTTCTTCCTCCTGCCTGACAAGCATGTTGCATTCTCCCAAAATAACAAGACGACAACAGAGCAGCGGAGCATGAAGACAGAATATGACAGGAACATAAAAAAGGTTGTGCTGCGGATAAATTTAGGTGCGACACTGGAAGTTTTGTGACCTGTTGGTGTGTGTGTGTGTGTGTGTGTGTTACAGTGTGTGTTTGTGCACTTAGTGTTTGCGTAGACCCTGCAGAATAAATTGGATGTGCTGCCATTAAACATAAATGGAAAGGGGTGGAAAGGAAAAGTCAAACACTCCTTAGGAGAGGTGTCACGGGGTGGTGGGGGTGAGCAAAATTGCTCCACGTTGACGTTTTCTGTCGCTGAATTTTGTTGCTCAGACTTTTTTTTTTAGATGCAGACCACAGATTAATAGCTATCTTCTCGTATCTATGTAAATTCTTGTAACAGCTGGTGCTAAAAGTAGGTCGCTGCAATTTTTAAGGCAAACAAAAACATTTTGGGAGGTTTCCCATTGTGACTTTGCTATKTTCGAGCCATTATTGTGAAACTGCTCCAGTTCGCTCTGTGAATAAATATGTTTTTTGTTTTACACGTTGAGGAGTGAGTGGGCTTAATGTGACACCGAGACTTGAGCATCATGTACTCTGCAGATGTTGCTCGGGACCATTTTATACTTTCACACGGTCCGTAATTAGTCCTGATTTAATTTGTACCGMAAATAAAACYGTTTGGAAAACTGCTTTTGTTACCTCTCAGCCCAAATTTGCGTGTGTTTTATTACGACTCGCCATCGCTTGCTTTAGGGGAGCTACTTCAGCGTGAACGACGAGCTGAAGATAATTAGGGACGACTGATTTGATGTTTGCGTGTGGGTGTGTGCGCGCAAAGGAGCATCATCGTCATTCTGCACGCACGTCTCTGCGCTTTATCGTGCACGCGATGGATGCTGTGCCATTTGAAAATTGTTTAATTAGTAAACTGAGGCGTTGGGGGGTGCCAATCAGTTTACATGTTATCTCACACCTGCGCTTTGATGTGCAGAAACTGTTAGACGTGACGTGTTTATAGAAAAGCATACTTCAGAATGTGACGGACCGGGATTAGTGGCGGTAAACTTGTGTAAAAGTGTTCTTTAGATTTGATTGGATGGAATGAAAATGAGCGAATAAGATTAGTTTTTGTTTGCTTAAAACAGCATTACAAGATGTTTGCAGTAAGAAGAAGTTATTGCTCTGTTACGGAGAAATTTTCGACGTTTGTAAATCGGATAAAATGGAGTTTTAACTCAGTTGAGTATTTTAGGTATTTCTAGAACACCCCGCTATGTTTTGTGCAGAAAGCCACTGAGAACATTATTAGTCATAAAAATGATAGCACTTTCTAGTTTGATACTATCAGTGTGATCATTTTRTGTAATTTGTTATAGGAGGATTGGTTTTCAGTCATTTTTATAGACTCCATTGTTAAGTTCCTCACAAAACCTTAATCAAAGCTACAATTTAAAGCCGCTCTCACGTTGTGCACAGTTATTATCGTATTGGCTCCATAACCGGGTGAAATAAAGCTGGAGGACAAAGGAGTGCAGAAGAACCT